AAGTACCTAGAAGCAACCCTGCAGTGCTAGAAAACCTCTTTGCCCCAAAGCACTCAGCTCTCTGCAGCCATCTGCCTGTTCCTTCCTTCCTGTGACTCGTGCTGCCGCCGCCTTCTCACATCACCTTCAGTGTTACAGCTCCTCTTGCCCACCAGCCACTCTACAGAGAAAGATGAGGTAGTCTGCTCCTTTAAAGGTTGACAGCCTCAGAAACCCTCCTGTAGGGTTACTCTGAAGTCAGCACTAACTCAATGGCAGTGGCTTATTTGCATGGTAAATTGACCAACTCCTGCAAGGTGCATAAAATAGACCAATCACAAAGTAGGCTACAGCCCATCCAATCACTGGGCAGAATTTTAAACCTCCAGCCAGAGAGGTCTTTGAAGAAAAATTCAATGCACTGTATACTCCCCTGCAACCCCCGTCCCACCCTAGGCAGCTACTAGTTTCTCTCTGTGAATCTACTCTATTGGGTAGTTCATGTAATGGAATCTTACGCTATGTGAACTTTTTTAATGGTTTGTGTTACCTCACATAGTGGTTTTTCTCATGTATCCTTGGCTGTAGTATGTATTGATCCTCTATTTCTTTTTATGATTGGGTAATATTCCATTGTTCAGATAGACTGCTATTGTTTATTCACGTGTTGGTGGTGGTTTCTGTTCTTGGACTATGAATATTGCTGCTGTGAGCATTCATGCTTCAGATTGTATAGATAATGTTTTTCTTTCTCTTGGCTCTCTACCAAGGGTAGACTGGTTGGACCATATGGTAAGTCTTGTGTAGTGGTATGAGGAAATGCCTCTGCTTTACAAATTACTACATGACTTTACATTCTTTTCAGCACTGAATGACGGTACCAATATTTTCATATCCCTGGCAGCACTTGTTATTGTCTTGTCTTTTTTAATATAGCCAAGCAATTAGCAACGTCAGCAGTTCGAAACCACCAGCCGTTCCCTGGGTGATAGAAGGGCTTTCTACACCTTTAAACAGTGACAGTCTCCAAAGCTCACAGCAGCATTTCTACCCTGTCCTGTAAGGTTCAACTCTATAGCAGTGAGTTTGTATAGTGAGCTTGAAGTGGCATATTCATTGTGGCTTTGAAGCATATTTGCCTAATGACTACCAGAGCTCTGGTAGCACAATGGTAAAGTGCTTGGCTGCTAACCAGAAGGTTGATTGTTCGAACCCACCAGCTACTCCATGGGGAAAAGATGTGGCAATCTGCTCCCATAAAGACTAGCAGCCTTAGAACCCTCGATGGCAGTGGCCCTCAACCTTCCTAATGCCGCTATCCTTTAATACAGTGCCTCATGTTGTGACCCCCAACTATAAAATTATTTTTGTTGCTACTTCATAACTGTAATTTTGCTACATTCATGATTTGGGCGACCCCTGCGGTCGTTTGACCCCCCAAAGAGGTCACAACCCCCAGGTTGAGAACCACTGCTCTATGGGGTAGTTCTAACCTGTCCTCTAGCCGGGCACCGTCAGCTTTCTTCACCACATTTGCTTGTGCACCCGCTTTGTCTTTGGCGATCCTGTCGGGAA